GCCCTCCCCTCGCAGAACGAGGGCGCCAAAATGGCTGTCATCAGCTGTTCGGCGGGTCAAAAATGGCCGCCGGAACAGCCGAAAGGGGCCGGGGCGCAGCGTTTTCGCGCCCTTGGTAAGCAAGGGGAGCGTGCAAAAACGCTGCCGGAAGCCCCGAAATGGTTGCGCGCAGCTGCTCTGCGATTTTCGCCCATTGGGGCCATCGTTGTGCGATCGCTTTAGCGATCGCAAAAGCGTCACCGTAGAGCGAATTCATCGCTCTACGGTGCGCTCGTTGTGCGAGGCACCACTGTACAGCCTTGTCGTACTCCTTTCCCAATTTTGAACCAATCAGTTGTTCCACATCCAGTTCTGTTGCTTCCTGTCCCACATATAGGTTTCTCAGGAGATAGATAAGGTGGTCAGGCACTCCCATTTCTTTAAGGGCTTGCCATAGTTTGTTGTGGTCCACACAGTCAATGCCTTTTGCATAGTCAATAAAGCAGAAGTAGATATTTTTCTGGAACTCTCTGGCTTTCTCCATAATCCAGTGCATATTAGCAATTTGGTCTCTAGTTCCTCTGCCCCTTTGGAATCCAGCTTGTACTTCTGGGAGTTCTCGATCCACGTACTGCTGAAGCCTACCTTGGAGGATTTTGAGCATAACCTTGCTAGCGTGTGAAATGAGTGCAATTGTACGGTAGTTGGACCATTCTTTGGCACTGCCCTTCTTTGGGATTGGGGTGTAGACTGATCTTTTCCAGTCCTCTGGCCACTGTTGAGTTTTCCAAACTTGCTGGCATATTTACTGTAGCACCTTGACAGCGTCATCTTTTAAGATTTTAAATAGTTCAACTGGAATGCCATCACCTCCACCGGCCTTGTTGTTAGCCAGACTTTCTAAGGCCCACTTCACTTCACTCTCCATTGAAGAAGTGTAGGTACCTGTAATACTGCCGTGCTCATATATAACAATAAGCCAGATAAACAGTGTCAGATTACACCATCATGGTGTAGGGATGCTGGTTCCCACTGCACACTTCCTTTTGCACAACTGTAAACAAACAAGGAGGGAATACCTGGCTGTGACAGTCCTAGTCCACATTTGATACCGATTCGGTATCCAATGTGATGTAATGGATAGAACGATGGACTAGGACTCTGTTCAGCTAGGGAAACTCACTGGGACTGTGGAACTTACCTGGAAAGCCCTAATAGGATCAGTATAACTTGGTTCTGACCTGACGATACATAGCAACAACACATTCAAATAGCCCATCCTATAAACTTAAAGAATCCATGAGGCATAGTACCCTCTATGGAAGCCATAGAAACGTCCAGACCGTATCATGAGTGCTCTTAGCTTGGCCAATCATGTCTGATTTTGCAGAACAAGCAAGGCCAGGCCTAGTTAGTATTTAGACAGAGACCAGCACGGGTGCCATGTTGCAGAAGAGCCATAACTTTATGGTAAGGTATACGCTTTGTGTGTAAAAAGTCCCAAGTTCAATCATCTAAAGATCAGGTTAAGAAGAAAACCTGCTTGAAACCCAGAAGATTGTGTCCAGGGAGCCAGCTGGAGTGAGACAACCATCTCATTCAGTATAAGACAGCTTCTTCTATTGAAGTGCATGTGTGTTCGTCTGTGTGTGTATGCGTGGCATTTTAATTTTAGCTACCCTTTGACCTAAGGTTGTCAAGTTCTTCACAGGATTTATTGTTTATTGTTCATTAATGTTCTTCACAAGTTTTTTTCCCCTCAGCATAAAGTATCTTGCCAAGTCTTCACTTCACAGGAGACATTTCAACAGAACCATCTGTTGTACATGACTTCACAGCCTACCTCATGAGGAAATAATTAAACTTACATTTTGAGCTTCAGGGGAGGTAGAATCCAAGCAAGGATTCTTTTTCCTGCTTTCGTCTCTAGCGAATTAAAATAAAGAGCCCATCCCACTCTTAAATGCACTATGGAAAAACTCTACGAATAGAAGCTCTTCCTTCATGGATGGGAGTGACCACAAGTGATCCCAACAGAGATTTTACTGAATGAAAGCATCCTGGACGGGGGTGGGGGCGAGTTGAAGCAGCGGGTGCTGAGATGAACTTGGTGGCTTGATGCTTGTGGACTATACTGACCACAGGACGTCATAGCAAGCAAACAAATCCTCCAGGTTCAACAGGTAGTTTTGTTCTGAAATAAAGATGAGTGACAATTTAATTCAGTTGAGAGTTGGTAAAAATTAGCCAACGTTTACCAATGGCTTCATATCTGTGATGGAAAGAACTTGAGTTAAATAACTGAACGTGGCAGTTGAAGCTATGGATGGAAGTATCAAGTCCAAAATAGCTATGATTAAATAGCTTATGGATTTTAGCTGGTGTAAATGGTGAGGTTTGTTTCAGCCTCATTATAGAAGAACTTGCTAAAAATCACACATCACATATTCAGAAAAGAACTGTAAGTTTCTGGAGTTTTAACAGAGGACATTGAGTTTCCCTCTTCTCCCATATCAGACGAAATTGCTAGTGAGACAGTTAGTGGACTGCTTTTCTCCTTTACATAAGCATTTACAGGTAATTGATGTCAAATTTAGCACTTGCTGGAGACAATGAAAGAAACTTTGGAGAAAGCAAAACAAGAGATTCCCCCCAAAGTAATATTAAATGAACAAGCAAACAATTCCTGCAAAATATTTTATCAACTAGCTGTAAAGTATATTTCTTTCAGAGCTTGGAAGTAATGCTTTATGAGCAGCAGTGTTCTCCATTAATCATTACTCCTAAAAATGGTATTTTAAGGCCTTTAGGGAAATTTCAGACCATATTTCTATTTTTTAAGATTACAAAAATGCTAAAGTGAATTTTGAAATAGCACATCAATTTTATATATTTTGAAGTAATCTAAAAATGTATGTCTGAAGAAGTTGATATATCCATCAAAGCTAACTGAAATATAACAATCTTTAAGGTGCTATAACATTTAAGCTTTTACTTTGTATTGTTTTTATCTTAACCTGAATAAAAAATAAGAATAAATCCATAAAAAGCTACTCTGTGTAGTCAATGAAATAAGTTATTAACATGGTCTAAAAACTGATGAAAATTACATAACATTGTTGCTGTTGTTGTTATTGTTTAGAATATTTGTTGTTGTTGTTTAGTCATTAAGTCGTGTCTGACTCTTCATGACCCCACGGACCAGAACACGCCAGGTTCTCCTGTCTTCCACTGCCTCCCGGAGTTTTTAGCATATAGCTAGACTTAAAATGTGCAACTGGGGAAAAATTGTGTATTTGGAATGATAGATGTGCAGTTGAAGAAGCAGAAAAAACTTAGATTTCTGCTTCTGTTTATTCAAAATATAAATAGCAGACAGTGTCAGATAACATTATTTTCATAAGGGCTAGGAAGTGCTTGGTTTCCATACTTAATCAAGTTGTCAACCCCATGTTGATAGAACTTTTTTTTATCAGACCCATCTCTTCTTCACTTTCATCAATTTGACTGCCATATTGACAAACACAAAAGCAGCCACTCAGCCTGAAGTTTGACTTCTGGAAGTGAGGGAGGGGATCTGACAGGGCTTGTGCAAGCCCTTTCCTGTGCAAGCAGGAAATCTGCTTAGAAAAAGGGCGGGGGGAGGAAAAACAAAAACCCTGAATGTCCAGAAATGAAGCTCATAGCAATCAATTAAAAGCAACCATTCGAAGAGATGCAGTTTTAAAAAAAACATAGTGAAAGGGTGGAGTATGTTGGTAGATGTAGGTACTTTACACTTTGGCCGAATGGGCAGTCGGAGCCTACCCAGGCAACAGAAGTCAGAACTGAGATGGCCCGGAGGAACTTTCAGTTGATGAGTGTAATTTGTTGCAAATACTTAAAAGCTGCTTTGAAAATGCATATTGTCTAAGGCTATGTGCTGTCAGTTCTACAGCATGGCATGGAATTGTGCGCTTTAACGTAGGCAACTATTTAAAAAGAATGAAATGCAGCTTACCTCAAACTCTTTCACTAAGTTGGAAGGGTAGCTATGAAGGAATTAGAAAGATCCTTAAGTGGATGATGTATCACTATAGACCAAGGCCAAGATCATCCATGGTGTGATATTCCTGATTTTTGTGAACAGAAACAATGCATAAAGCTGACTGGAACAAAACTGATTCATTCAAAAATATGGTGTTGGAGGAGAGATTTTCAGATACCACAAACTGTCAGAAAAAATATATAAGTGGGTTCAAGATTGAATGAAGCCTGAATTCTCCCTAGAGGCTAAATTATTAATCTGAGAGAAAAAGATTTATCGGGGAAAAAATATTGGAAACAGATAAAGACACTGGAAAAAGAGGAAAAGGTAATTTCAAGATGGTTTGACTCAGTAAAGGAAACCCCAGCTTTCAGTTTACAAGATCTGAGCAAGGCTGTAAAGAATAGGTCATTAATTCATAGGATAACCATAAATCCAAAATGATTTGATAGCGTATAATAACAAAGAGACGTTTTAGTGGTAAATCTTCTACTCACAACTTAAGATTCTCTTAGCAAGAAATGGGGAACGAATAAAAAGTGAAGGCTTTCCCATGGCTAGTATTTACACAACGAAGCTAACATGAAAGACCACATCTTGTTGGGGCTCTGTGCCAGAGTTCGATTGAATCCATCTGGTGTGAGCCATTTTAGGATTAAAATCGAACTAAAGAAAGTTTGTATGGATTCAGTTCCAGCAGTTTGTGAGGCCAAGTCAAAGCTGTCAGGGCCCAAAGTGTGCTTCTTGTTGTTATTAATTAGAATGTGGAGAAATCAGAAATTAAGTGTGAGCATCTCTGTTTGATAACTCCAAATCAAAAACAAGATTGAATTTCCCCGAAGTAAGCATTAGCAACACTGAATTATAAAGTTTTAACTACAGGTTTACGCTACTCAACGGTAACCTTTTTCTGTTATTCAAGCTGCTAATGGCAGCTCCTCCCAAATTAGTCATTAATTCATAAAAAGTTAGATCACTTGCTTAATTACGGTAGTTGTTTAATCATGAGGAAAGCAACAGCTTCAACAATAGCACTTTTGAGAAATGCCTCACAAGAGGCATTTGCTTTGGAAAGGAATAAAGAGTGACACAATACTCCTTTGGGTGGAGCGTTGGTTCCCTATCACTTTTTGTCATTTGGTGCTGGAATACCATGTTGTGTGCCAGAATTCAAGTCCAAACAAACTCAGTTCCCATTGTCTTGGAGGAGGACATTTCTCTTCAATAAGACCTTTTAAAAGAAAAAGAAAAATTAAAGAGATTCATGTCCTTGCTAGTGCTTCTCTGAGGGAACTGGGTTCTTTATTTTTGTTTTGAGTGATAACTGAAAGCTTCCAATTGAGCTGTTCTACTGCTGACATGAACTACAGTTTGGAGCACCATAGCACTAAACTCTCCTCCTGGAACAAAGGTTCCAGGACTTGGTTTGGGAAATGGAGAAAATCAGGTAGATCCTGATAAGATCCAGTTGGACTCTACTGCCTTTTGGATTTAGGGACTGGATCTGCTGCTCCACACTCCCACCCAACTTGAGGACGTGTGCACTTATTCATCCTATGGGGAATTTAATATCCCTCAGGGTTGGCTGACATGGGAGAGTTGGCTCAATAATTATTTAAGAGCCTTTTTATCATTTCATTATTAACTGACCTGCGGCTCTGTTTATAGGTAATTAAGGGTATTAAGACCTATTACTCTAATTATTTTATATATTTTATTTTAACCTACACACCTTTTTCTGCAATTGGAAGACCAAGGAGGTTTTTTTCTGGGGAGGGGGTCAAGGCCTTATATTTTGTTGTTGTGCTAGGAGGGTGTATTGTTATGGCAAACCATAGTACTATCTCAGTAGTGACAGGTAAGGGGAGGTTTGGTGTTAGAAGTTATGTTGGCCATTACAGAAGAGTCCACTTTCAGTGTTTGTTCTCAGTTTCAGGCTCACTCCTTCTTCCAGGTGCAAAGGTAACCCGCTCAAACCTATGCCTTCTGCTTTGACCTGCTTGTTGAATGACAGATCAGTTCAAAATAAGTCCCAATTAGATAAATGGTGGTTTGTCTTGGGTCGTTAACCTCGGCAAACCACGAACCGCAAATTTCCCCATGGTGGCCCAACAAACCACAAATCAATTAATTGGTTCACCGGGTCTGATCCCCCATCCCACCCCTGAGCCCTCTGCCCCAACAGACTCCCCACTCCGTTCCCACTGCTTCTTACCTTGTCCTGCTGCCTCCGCCGCCAAAAACATTGTCGCCACTATGTTGTTGCGGTCCACCAGACTTGTACTCATCAGGGACTTCAACATACATGCAGAGGTACTCCAGGATACCATGACATCTATGGGGCTGTCCCAACGGGTAACTGACACCTGCACATGGAGACTTGGTATTCTTGACTGGCTGAGGAAGATCTGAGGGTGACTGAGTAACCTTCACTCCTCTTGTCATGGTCAGATCACTTCCTGCAAAAAGAAGGCCTCTGAATGGCAACCACCCTTGTGGGGAGATGGGTCCTACTAGGATAGTCCACCCACGGAGGCTGTTGGATACAATTGGATTCCAAAATGCTTTGGGTGGGCCTTTGACAGCCTGCTTCCTATTTGTTCATTTGATAACTGATTTGTGTTTAAACTGATTTTACAATTATCTTGGGATTTGGGCTTATATGTTTGTGATACAAAGGAATACCAGGGTGAGATCCTTTTTCTTTTCTTTGATAGTTTAGTTTATGTATTTTCTTGAGGTAAGCTGTTCAGAGTAGTGGCCTACCAGTAGATGGGTAGAGTAGAAGTTTAACAAGCAAGCAAACAAACAAACCCTTCTCTCTGGAGGGACAAACATTCATGGAAAGTCTCCCCAAAAAGCACTGAAGCAACCATGACAAGTCTTATGCTATTGGAATCGCAGGAAAAAAAATAACTGAACAGTCGTTTCATCTGGATAAGCCCTCAAGCTACCCATTAGAAGCTCTGAATTTCCAGATCACTAGAAAATAAGGCAGCCACCTACCTACACATCATGAAAAAGTAAGGAAAAGGTTATATGTATTAGTATAAAAAAGAATATGCTAATTTACATGATCAGGTGCAATCTTAAAAGTGTTACTAAGTCAAGCAGAATTACAATGCAACCCACATGAGGGGGTGATGTCTGTGTCTGCTGAGTCTTCCATCCAGGTGCTCAAGATGGCTGGGCCACTTCAGGGTCCTTCACTCCCATTTTTGTAATTCTTTCTCCTTATGTTAGTCTTGGAATGTGCAGGCCTTCAAATGGAAGATTCTTTCAAAGAGAGGATTGTCTTCTGGCAGATGTTCAGAGAGGGACTGTATCTTTCCTCAAGTGGATATGTCGTCTACCTTACCAGAAGGTCAAAATTTAGCTCCAAGGATGCTGGAAAACAGGAGAAAAATACATATTGAAGTCTGGCAGCTGACCAAAAACAGACTACTGAGGAGGAAAGATGAAAGAAAGTCTCAAAGGTAATGGGGCATGACAAAGGTCAAGGGGAATATCCAGCTGAGAAGCCTGAGGCTGGATTGTGGAGCTTTCCAGATAGGATTGAACCTGTATGCCAGATGTTCCCCATCCATACACTAACAGGAGTCTTATGAGAATGTGTGTATGTATGTATATGGGGGGGGGCGGTTATAAAGCCTTATTACTAATAACCGTGAAGCAAAGATTCTTTTATTTTTCTATTACAATTGAAACAAACAAGAAAATATGCAAAAAGAAGTATGTACTGTGCTTTTATTGTTGAACATGCTATTATTATTATTCTGAAAATTGGTCTTGTCCAATTATTAGTAATTATTGCCTGAGATTCCATTGCTTAGTGTAGTAAGTCACACTAGGATAGACCCATTGAATCAGTGGGGATTTGGTAAGTGAATTCCTCCATAATTTCAAATGGGCCTACTACACTCACAACTAGAGTCGGATCTCTTTGAATCAAGAGAATTTACAGGGGAGTTGATACCAAATCTGCACTGGTTCAGTGGGCCTGTTCTAGTTGCCACTTACTACATTAAGCAACAGGATTCCAGCCATTAAATGTTTTAATCTGTAGCCTTAAGAACACTTAATTCCTTTTAAATAGATATATACGTATTATAATAACAATGCCTGGGGAGTAGTCACATCTGTCTATTGCAGCACAATGAACAAAAAACCATACAGCACTTTATAGACTAACAAATACTAATACTCTTGGAACTGCAGAGCTGGGAGGAACCCTATGAATCATCGAGTCCAGCCCTTGCCAACACCCAACCCCTGGCTCTGCAGACAGGTACCCAAACCAACCCATTGCATCTGATGAAGTGAACTGTCATCTGCAGAAGGGTATGCCACCTCCATTTCCTATGGGTCTTGGGGGGTTTGGCTGCTTTTTTGGTTTTTTCCCCCATTTCGATGTGTCTTACATGCTTTTTGCTTTGTTCTCTGTGCATTTCTGATCTGCTACGTTTGTTTTTGCAATGGTTCCTGCATGCTTCCCTTCCTTTTTCCTTTGATTTCTGTGCCTTTCCGACCTTGTCCCTTTGTTCTCTGTGCATTTCTGATCTGCTCCATTTGTTTTCTGTACATTTGCAATGGTTCCTGCATGCTTCCCTTGCTTTTTGCGTTTCTGATCTGCTCAATTTGTTTTCTGTACAGAGTTTTTGCAGCTTAGCTTTGGGCTAGGTGGGGGGGTTATGTTTCTGTGCTCTGATGGGGCTTGCAGACCCTTCTGCAAGGCTCTGTGCTGGCTGGTTTGCTCTTAAATGGAGTTTAGTCTTTTGGTTTTAAAATCAGAAAAGCTTTTGCATGGGTCTGTGCTGGTTGGTTTGCTCTAAAATTGAGTTTAGATTCAAGTCTTCCCCCCCCCATCATTGTCTTCTTTCTCTCTCTCTCTGCTCCCCCCTATGCTGAGGGGGTCTGTTTGCTGGAGTAATAGTTGCTGGAATCTATGGCTCCTAGGGTTTGCATACTGCGGTGTGACCTGTCTTTTGTTTTAAAAGGTGATGGTGGGTGGGTTTAAAAGGTGTTTGGTTTTAAAATGTGTTTTGTTTAAAAGTTGTTTGGTTTAGTTTAAAATGTGCTGGTGTAAAATGTTTAGGTTTAAAATGTGTGGGTTTAGCATGTGTGGGTTTAAAATGTGTTTTAGACTCCAAACTCTCCCCCCCCCCAATTGTCTTCTATCTCTCTGTCTTCTCTGTTTTTGTGCTTAAAAGCACAAACCTTTGTCTGAGGGGTCTGTATGCCCCAGCGATGACCTTCTTTCTTTCCTCTTTTCCCCATTGTTCCCTCCCTCCCCTCCTTTCCTGCCTTTTTTTAAAATCCAAGTCATTTTGGTTAAAAAAATTTCTCCCCCTAGTCGTAGAGGACAGATTAATTGGTTTTGAAATGGATTGAAACCCGATTAATCCATTCCGGCTGTTTTTTGTTTGTATGTAGAGGTGCCGGTTTGTAAGTCGAAGCATTAGTTCCCATAGGAACTAATTCTTCGACTTACAAACCGGTGCCTCTACATACAAACAAAAAACAGCCAGAACGAATTAATCGGATTTCAATGCATTTCAATGGGAAATGCTGATTTGACTTACGAACATCTTCTGGGATGGATTAAGTTCGTAAATTGAGGTGCCACTGTAGTCATTTGCCTCATCAGAAGCCTCTGGAGAGGGGTGTGTTTGGACATTTAAATATTATTTGGAGGAAGTCTTTTTAAGGCCCAGAAGAGGTTTTTATCTTCAGAAAATTGGAACTAACCAACCAGGATGAGTTACATATCATAGGCTGAAGGAAAGCAAAAATGATCTTGAGCACTGGCAAAGTTGCCCATCTCCACTCTAAGGCATCACGAAACTTTTTGCTGGTAGGTCACAATAATGTCTGAGCTTGTGGAAACTCCTGATGCCTGTTATATAATATTTTTCCATCAAGACTGGAGAGCTGGGAAAGCGTGACTTCTCAGGATCATTTCCAAATCTGATCCAGATGGGAAGGACAGTGATTTTGTCTGCTAATTGTAACCTATTCCCCCTGTTATCGAATATTACTATCTCTGTAATCCAGTATTTAATTTCTGATGCAATTTTGGGAGGTTTCGGGGTTACTTTAAAAATACTTACAATAACCAGTAATTAACATGTCACTCTTATTGCTTGAGGCAAACATTTTATCTAGTGACATGGGTGATAAAATTGGCACCACCAAGAAATAACTTCCTTCCCTTCCAGCACCCCCTACATTGAGTATTGCAAGGGACAGTAGGGCTCTGAGTCATCAACAGTTGTGCAAAAAGGTGAAATTTGAAGCTAGCCTAGCTTCTGTCATCCTTGTGTGACAAGAGTTACCCATCTGATAGAACTTCCTCTTTAACTGAGCCATCAAAGAGATCTGCTGGTCACTGTAGCCACTAACAGTATGAAACTGCAGCTTTTATGAAGGACATCTGCTTCCCCAGGGCTGAAACATTTCCCTTTGTAAAGGAAGGAAACAATATGGTCACCAAGATATCCCTCCTTAAAATAATACAGCTATTCAGCCATTGCATAAGAGGGAACAGGATGCTTTATAATCAATTTATAGCACTTCAGTTTCAATTGTGTGGTTGGCTGTCACAACAGTCTGGTCGCTGGGATTGGCAAAGGGTGTCAGGGTGTAATAAGCTGAGCAGGGTTTATTCCACTTGCTTGGCATATCTGTCCACCAGTAACAGCAGCATGGGGCCCCATCATACACAGCTGGCCCAGCCCCTGTACCAACCACAGTATCCTTTTTTAATTATTATTTCTTACATTTCTATTTCATTATTCTGTGAAGTGGCTTGGCCCAAATATACACACAATTTCTGTAAGTAAGGCGCAATGAGAGAGAGAGAGAGAGAGAGAGAGAGAGAGAGCACATTCTGAAGTGGTTTCCATGACTGAATGTATATTTGAATGCCTGTTTCCTTGGTTCTAAATTTGACTCAGTAACCATTAGAGCACATTTTTGCTAAGAAGACTGTAGGATATGATCTCAGGCCATGCAAGTAAAGATTAGGAAATGGGATGTTGGTAGCCAGTGCTTCTTCAGTAGAAAACATTGTCTTCTGCTTATTTCAGAGGCAGTATATTAGGAAGCCACACTTCTGTCTCATTGCAAGGAGTAAAAAGGTGCTTAATTCTTTATATAAAAAGTTTGAACTATCATTGGGAAACAAATCCAACAGATTCAGTTGTAACAGCCTTTCACATGCCTTCAAAAACAAGATGTTAGAATGATTGCAAGTATGTGCCAGTTTAAGGAGGGGCCATACAGTGGAGTCTCGACCTACGAATGGCCCACTTACGGGCTTTTTGGTGTCTGTACAGCTCCAGCCGCAAAATTTTGGATCGACTTGCGGTCGGAGATTTGACCTACGGACGAAATAGTCAGGGAAAAAGGGCGGGAAATTCAAACCGTAGGTGGCGAAAAGGCTGCTTCTTCAGCTCTTTCACCCCAATGGTTTGGAAAAGGGAGGGAGCAGGGCGGTGGGGGAGAAAGTCAGAAGCCGATCTGGCCTTTCCCCCCCCCCCCCCCGGGCGGCTTTTCCGCGCGTGAAATCCC